CATTTATCTTTTAAAAAAAGTATTTCTTATTTCCCTATGTTTAATTTAGAAACTTTAACATCACAAAACCGATCTCCCATCCTTGTAATCCAAAATTAATAACTTGAAAGCAAGTGTCAATAGGGTATAGTCGAGTGAAAAATGACATTTAGCATCATAATTCAAACTATCGCTTGTATTAAATAAAAATAAAAAATAAAAACAGTTTCAAAGAAAAACTGGTTGAGCTGAGCTGATAGAGAACAAAAAAAATAGTAAACTGATTGAGGATTTTTTTTCTCTTATTATTTTCATTCCTTCACCTCATGGTGTTTTACTCGTAAATATGAAATTATGGGGTATGTTTTCGATATTGTCTTGCAAATATTTAATTATTTAGAGGTTTGTTTTTACTGTGTTTTGGGTCTTAGTTATTTGTAATTTTCTCTTTTATCCTTTCGAAGCTCTGCGTTGTGTTTGTCTTGCAGTCCCCTGCCCAGTGCTATTGTAGCTTTGCGTCCTTTGGCTAACATCAGTAGGAATTGGCCCACTGGCCTCATCAACAAATACAAATCAAATTTAAGGTTTGCTTTTGCAGGCAGGTGTTGCTCTCTCTGCCTCCACGCCGCTCCTCTTCTTTCTATGCAATTTGTATTAAATTAAATACAATATTAAGGAATTTGTAGTTCAAATGATTAAAAATAATCATTTTTGCATTCGAGTTCTTATGTTTATAATCTCACTCTCGTAATACCACTTGTATTTTTTTTTTTTCAAAAACTCACGTCACATTCTTGTATGAAATGCAATGTACTTGAAGCAATAATAATGAATTATTAGCAACTTTTAAATGGTACTATTGCCACTTCTCAAACTACATTGTGATTGATGACCACAACAACACATGGAAACCAAAACTTTTGTAAGGTTTTTCATGAGACACTACTGAATGGCAAAACAATTAAGTTAAAAGATGATGATGTGTCCAAAATTTAAATGCATGTTCCATTTTAATTGAATTATACTGTCACTTAGCACGTCTACGTAATAAGAACAACTCACTGAAGTTTTGCTCTCACTTTAGAGAGATCCTGCTGATTTTAAGTTTTAGTTACAGTGGGAGTAAATGTTCTCTTCAGTGGAGCTACAAATTCCTTGTTGGTTTTGTATATTTTGGAGTTCAAAAGATTAGAAATTGAAAAAGTAGGGTGTTTGAATTGATGACAGTTTGAGTTTACCAAGCCTCCAAAAGCTCTGATAATTGTGGTAAGGAGAAGTTGCTTTCCGTTTGTCTTTATAACATGGCAGATTGCTGTTGGCTTTGCCAGAGGCCAAGAAGAGGATTCTCACATCTCTCTGGTCCTCCATTCTCACCACAACTATATAATTTGGGGAAAGGAGGAGGAGGAGGAGATAAAAAGAAGGAAAAGAATGAGACTTTAAAGATTTTATTCCCTTAACATTATTTTATGCATCAAAGTATGAGCCTAATTACATTATTTATGGATAAATAAATAAAAATTTAAAAAGGGCCTCATAAAAGAAAGTGATTTCCATTCCCTCACCCCCCAAGACATTAGTTTATTTGGATTGAAAATGTAGACTGCAGGTTGATAATCACTGAGCTAATCATTTTAGAATAATAATGCCCATCATCAACAATCAGAGCCACCCAAACTTCTCATAATCACTTCTCAAACTTTTCCTTTTTTAATCATATATAATTCTTAAAAGCTTTATTCTTTAAGGGTAAAATTTTTCTACCAACAAAATGATTCAACCTTTAACTGTATAAAATAATGAGAAACACACCACACAATCTCCAACATTTATGTCTGTCATCCATTCATACTCTTCCCATGAAAAAGCTAAGCACCACTGACATTTTAACAGTCTCTATGCCACTCTCCTCCTCTCACAGTTCTCTTTTCACATTTTTCAAAAACCCTTTTTTCTTTGTCAAAAACCCAGAAGCAGGCAGGAGGCAGGGATAGCAAGGCTACAAAGGACCAAAGCCTCTGTCTAATCTAATATTTTGCTGTCACAAAAAAAAACAAATCAAAAGAGAAGCTGAAGATGAAGCTCTCCATGCTCATCTTCCTGTGTTTTCTCTCTTTTCTCTTCCAGCATTCTCACTCCACCACAATACTAGTAGATGGGGTTTCAGAGTGGAAAAATCCCACTGTTCATGTAGGAGACTCAATCAGTAAGTACTTCAAACTGAAAAGAAAAAACCCCAACAAATTCAAGAACTTCAAACTTTTATTTATTTTTGGTTGAATTAATTAAGCATTGTTTTACTTAGGTTGCCTTCTAACACTTTTTGTCTTGAGTATTTCAGTTTTTAAGCACAAGTATCAGCACAACCTCTACATTTTCCAGAACCAAAAAGCCTTCAATCTCTGCAATTTCACTCAAGCCACACTTCTTAACAAACCTGACTCCACCTCCTTCACGGTATCTCTCTCTCTCTCTCTCTCTCTCTCTCAAACACACACTCACAAAACCTTTTTTTTTTTTTTTTGTTTTTTTTTTTTTTCTGATTTTTCCTGAGAAATAGTTCAATTTACTCTGTTTTGAACTTGGGTTTTCAAGAAAATTCTTAAAAGAAGTAGTTTCCATCTTGGTATGTCATAATTGTCTAAAATATTTGAGCTTTCTAACTAAAATTCTTGTTACATTTGCAAAAGTGGCACCCATCACGCCCTGGTTTCTTCTACTTTGCCTTCAACAATGGCTCTATGCTCAAAACATGCCAAGAGACCCAAAAGCTGGCTATCAGAGTCTCCTCCTCTTCCTCAGCAGCAGCACCACCAGGAAGTTCAAGTTCAACAACAACTTCTCCACAGCTTCCTCCAATGGCTTCCCCAACACCAATCTCTGGTGGAGGAGGAGCAGTGTCATCTTCTCCAGCATATCCATGGCCATTCCACCCTCGCCAAGTTTCCTTCTCTCCCAGCCCACAACCAAGCGTGAGTTCTTCAGTGGCTGTACCAGACAAAGGTGGTGGTGGCGGCATGCCATTTATTAACAGTAACCCTGCAGTTCCTCTGCCTACTGGTGAAGTTGACTCTGCTACAATACGCCCTTTACCAACCTCTGGCCACCATGGGCAGGTACCTCAATTTTCTCTTTTATTAATTTTCGATTGGATGATTCATTCGTTGTTAATTGATTTTGAGTTAGATGTTCAAATTTCGATTAGTATTATATGTGTAAAGTTATTGATTATAGGTTCTTGATCTCATTAAATTTGTTCATTTGTAAGTTTAGCACAGTACATAATAATGAAGTACGCACATATGGTTACATACATGAAAATGTAAATCTATATGCAGTTAATAATGAAAAATGTTGTGTAAATGTCCTATTTTTACTTTTTTTACGTTTGAGTTTTGATGGGATGTTGATTGGGTTTCTTTTGTACTGACTGTGGGTGGAAACTGCAGGTGTTGGTGGGGTTATTTGCTCTTCAAATGCAAATGGCTCTATTTTGTGTGGTTTTTTTCCTGCTGCTGTAAAAAGGGAGGGAAGAAGAGAGAGAGAGAGAGAGAGAGATGGTTTGTAATATGTGTAAGTAAAGTAAATCTGGTGTAGGGTAAATCTTGATCAGGCAGAGCAGAGAGGCAGTGTGGTGTTTGAGTCTAAAGTAACTTTAAGAGTGGTGATTATTATACCATGTATTGAGATGCTCTTAGTCCCTACTTTGGAAATCATTACCACTTTTGCTCCTTTAATTTTGGCATGCAATCAATTGCTACTCTCTCTTTTTTCTACTTTATCCTGCTCTTTTCCTCTTCTGCTTCTTTCAGTTTTTTTGTTTTTTGGGGAAGAATTTAAAATTTGAAAGTCATAAAGCAATCAATTGACTAAAGTGATCCCCGCAGATTGGTACCTAAAGCAATTTGGTAGGCTGGTTGTTGAGGTGTGCACTTTGGATCCCCACAACATGAAAATGAATGATGTTTTGAACCATTTGAATCACTCTCATGACCTGTGATCCATTTCTCCATATAAACTTCAAGAAAAATGATCCATTTCTCCATATAAATTTCCAAGAAAAATATTTTTTTTAATGAAAAATTTAAAGAAAATATTTAGAATCTGAACAACTCAATGTTTGCCTATGGCTGGATAAGTGGTGGGCATAGTGCCTCCCTTACCTTACCTCTCAACTTAGGGTGAACAGAAGAAGAACTACATAGAATTCAAGTTTAATTGATATTCACATGATGAAATAAATGATTATGCTGTTGCCCTGAAGAGAATTACAGATGCAATGCAATGATGAAGCCTTTTCTGGTAGACTCTATTCTGGGAGTATAACTTGTTTCAGTAATAATTCTCAATGTGACAAACCTTTTTTTGTTAACTTTTGACTATGTCCCTTGTTTTCCTTCCTTTCTTTTCATATCCTTAAACGAAACGCCTCGGGTTGAGCTTGAGGGAGTGTAGAAAAGCAGTCTTGAACTTCAATCTCTTTCTTTTGTCAGGCACTAAAATTCATTTGATTGATTCAAAGTTCAAAGGAGTATAAATTGTGCGATTTGGGCTAAGTTTACTAACATGACACACGTTTTTTACATTTAGTAACACAAAAAGAATCAAAACTGGCGTGAGTTTCTCGTTAAAATCCGGAATTTAATACCTGAAAAATCAGAATTTGGATTGATTAGGACAGCAGTTAATATGAACACGCATATTTCGGCTAGGCCCAAAATGCAACCGAAAAGTACGCCGGCATTGCACAAGTTTAGGGCAGAGATGGTTAGGCTAGCTGAGCCGCTGTACACAGGTTGAATATGAACACGCATGGCTTGAACTTCATTTTGGTATCAAACATAGAGCCGTTAACTTCCCGCCAAGGCAACCCACATTTCGGAAAGCAGTGGATTTAAACCGTCCTAAACGCCTTCAAGAATGCCATATAAGGAAGCAATGAATATGTGCTTTGTTTCATATGCTCAATAAAAGACAATATGGGCTCTATTAACATTCCCCTCTCACGCGTGCACATTCCGCTACCCCTTTGAATAGTTTAAATTTTGGAGTTCCTAAAATTGATTTCTGTAAGAAAATCAACCCCAACCAATGGATCTAGAATTGAGACTCAAGGTCACCCATACCATGGATGATCATGTTTCTTCTGCCAACTTTCGGATTGCCAAAGACAATTCCGATCCTCTTTTCGTATCGAAAGAAACCGAAACTACCTTCGTCCTCACTGGTCATCTCAAAGGTTAATATCATTTTCAATTATTCCTCAATATTTGTTCTGTGTATGTGTGTGTGTATGCCAGCATTTTTTTTTAAACTTTCTTTGGATAAATGTAGGTTATAGAAGACAGCATATTGAAATTGACATAAATGAAGATGGGACTCAGATTGCCATTAGTGGGAAAAAGCCAGTTCAAGAGAAGGTGATGATAGGATGGATGATGTACAAGAAAGAGGTGGAGATAGGGAGTTTCAGAAAAGTCTTTCGGATTCCGGATGGAGTGGTTCTGGATCGAATCAAGGCCAAGTTTAAGGAACACGAATCAACTCTCACCATCGTCATGCCAAAATCGGAGAAAGGTATTCGAGAGGTTGAGATTGAGGAAGTGAAAGATGATGGGGTGGATAAAGGACTGGAAACACAGCAGATGGCACAACCTGCAGCTGAAGAGGTTCCTGAAAAAGATGGTTCTAGGGGGAAAGTTGAGGTAGAATTTGGTGAGGCTGAGAAAAAGAAAATGGAAGAAAATCGCCGGATCAAGGGAAAAGAAGTTGATGAAGAGGGGTCCAAGAAAGAAATTGTAGCTGATGGAGTTCTTGGGAAGGACATGAGTGGGGGAAAAAATCAGGAAGAAGCTAGAGCTTCAAAGATACAGAGTATGCAAGAGACAGAAAAGTCTGTATCGAAAAATAGGGAAGAGCCAAAAATGGCAAGGATTGCGAAGATTGAAGAAGCTGATGGTGTTGAGAAAGAGACGGTTGCTAGAAAGGAATTAGGCACAGAACAAATTGTAACTGATTATAAGGTGCCAAAGAGTGAGGATGCTAAAGAGACAATGAAGGAAGATAAAAGCACTCAAGTAAGTCAAGAAGTTGCTAAGCCATCACAAGAAACTCAGGCAACTCAAATTGGAAGAACTGGTGCAGAAGCAGAAGGGTTGGAGGATGACGTTCATAGTAGACGAGAGAGCCAAGAAGCTCAAGCTCAACAGATAGAGACTACAGAAGGAGATGTTGCTCAGCCGCAAAAGCAAGAACCTGTCAAAGGAGAAGGAAGCCATGGAAATGAAATTCAAGAAGCAGGAACCAATGAAGAACACATGAAAGAGAAGGAAGTTGAGAAATCAAGTGATGATCTAGAGGAGACGCCTCCTCGTTTGGAAAAATCTAATCTGCTTTGCTCTCCATTCATCATTGCAGGTTCAGCACTAATTGTTTCCCTAGTCATGGTAGCAATTAACAGGATTAGAACTAGAAAAAGATAGCTTCTGTGTTTCAGAGCTCCCTCTCTCCCTCTCTCTTGTATATTCAACTTTACCTTTTTTTTGGATTGTAATTTAACTTATGATCCGTTATGTTAATGTCAAATCTCGTTATTCTGAGTTCTGTAATTTTCAAATTCATTATTTGTCTTGAATTCCCTGGTCCAAGCGAAAGGTACAAGTATTCGGTTTTCAATAGGGCGTGCACACACATATTATACATCTGGCACACTTCAACTAACATCATCAAGATTAGAAAAGTCTTTTGCCTCCTTCCCTTTTTTTTTTCTCTTGTTATTTATTTTCTTTATTGGCATGATATAAAATGCCAAACACATCAAAATTATACAAACTTTTAGGCTTAAGCGACTTTCTTATTATTATTTTTATTTATACAAGCGATAGGGAAGGAGGGATTCGAACTCAGGTGCAGAGTGAGAAGCAGATCCGCTCTAGCCAACTTGGCTAAGCCCTTTGCTTCACACAAACTCTTAGCCAGCATTGAATTTGGGCAGTTTTACGTGCCATTACGTCTGGTCCCAGAAATTGGCTTGCAGAAATTAGAACATTAAAAGCAAGAAGAGCTATTGGTATTATTAATGGCTTAACAGCTCATGAAGCCATGTAGGGTAGCTTTGCAAATGACGAATCTCTACATTAATCCACCTTCCAAAATGCAAAACATTGTCAACACATAACATGGAATTTTAAGCTCCAAACCAAGAAAAGACAAGAATTAGCTTTTAGCATTTAAAGCCCACATTGAAGCAACAGCTCACCATGAGTTTTTTCCCAATAGGGGGGGTCAACTGCTCTGGAAGCCTCTCATTTTGACGAGGTAGGTAGGGCAAGAAGAAGCTGCGTGCCTAATCTGCAGTCTTGGTTGCTTGATGTTATAAGCTACCAACTGCACTCTTCACCCTAACCCTAATTGAGGATAAGACAGCGATGGATGATCTGCAAAAACTTTGTGTATCTAAATTATATACTAAACAATAGCTTTGATGCAATCTTCAAAGACCAATTCCAATTGGCTCAAATCAAGCACAAGATTAGCTCATGCCTCTAATATCTGGTGTAGTCAAAATAGGTGGCAAAGGACGTATACAGTCAGAGGATTCCGGTTAGAAGAACGCTACTCGAGAGAATCCTGGCTGTTGATGCAGAGTCTGGAATCGCCCCCACACGGGCAGGTGATTGACCTTAGCTTAGCGCCTGCTGTTCCAGCTACTTCAAGATGTGACTGCTTCAAAGTATCAGAGCTGCATTTAGGTGGAGATCAAACAGAACCACATACACCAAGTAGCATCTGTAGGAAAACTAGTATTTTGGTTGTATAAGGAAGATACTAATTTCGAAACGGCGGAGAAAGACAACAGGGAACTTAAATATACAAGGGCTGAACATAGAGGGAGGCAAAAGGGAAGAAGGCAAGCTCGAAAGAGCAGAGGACTATGTTGAACAAACAGGGAGCTTAAAAATTTACACCCCCACTGCGGCAAATAGGCAAAAGCCACTTTGAGAACTATGGATATGTTACCATTAGAGGGCAAAATTGAAGTCCAAAGTAATCAGGAGGGTATTGTCTTTGGCAAGAACGGGAAACAAACCAAGAAATGAAAATGAAGCCTGCAGTCAATTTCAGAAGAGAATTCAAATTCTGGTTTCATCATCTTTCAAGGTCAGAATATGGATGCCCTCACATGACCAAATCATAGTCAAATTCCTGCAATAAAAGAGAGGGAACCAGAATAAATAATATGAAAAAAAAAAAAACCAATCAATCTCAGCTGCACTAGAAATGGTAAAGCAATTTACCAACGGTCAGAATGCATTAAGCCTTACAGAACTGCATATGGAAGTCAAAAGCAGTATTGATAACAACCTGTCCATAAAGAGAAAGTTGGAGCCTGACTGTCCGGTGTCTGGTTGAAGCTAACTATTGTAATATGGCAAGCAGAAAATTCCAAGAACAATTAACAGCACATTTCTTTTTCTTCTTTCGGGGTCTTCTCACTTTGCACTAACCAATCAATCAAAATATAAGTAATTGCAATCCAATGACGAAGAAAGCCAAAAGAAGATTGCTCCCCTCATAGAGAGTAAGTCATTATCAGACATTTCGATGATTTCGTTTCGTACATTGATGTAGCGATTCGAATCGCCCAACGAAGCCTCCAATCTCATACACACACAAATTCAAATACCAAATTCCTATGTCGTAATCGGTAAGCATTCGAGATCGAAAGAAAAATTGTGTAAGAATTGAACAGAAAATGAGAAAGGGCAGCAGCCAGATGCATGCTCAGAAATTTCATTATACAAAGGCAAAATAAATAAGCAACAAAAGAAAGATAAAAAGGGTAAAAAAAAAAGGAAGGAAAAACAGCAAACATGAACCTCCAAGAAGTAGGTTCCTTTGCATAATCCTAATTTCTATACACAATATATGGTAATTGCTGATCGATTTCATTGATTAAATTACAAGAGAAAAAGAAAAAAAAGAGTCATATCTCCTCCTCACCCAAATTTTATTGCCCCCGCCGCCGCCGCCTTCTTCTTCCCCAAATCCAAAAATTGATTGCTCTCATCTTCTTCATTCATTCGTTCTTCCAAAAGAATCCATGCCCTCGGTTCGGCTTTTCACGATTCCATGGAACACCTCCCTGACCTGCCGCTCCAGAGGATCCAAACCCTCCTTAATCCCCTCACACAGGCTCGACAATTCCTGCACTCTCTGCCGCACCTCCCTCTCCTTCTCCTCCGCGATCGGGAACTGCACCGAGTCCGCGAGATCGCCGATTAGCCGTGAGCACCGTTCAATCTGATGAATCTCCTTCAGCAGTGCGCAGGCGTTCCTCCGGTCCCGCCGCTTCGACTCCTCTAGAATCCGCTCGTGCAGCGAAAGCATGGGCCCCGCCCAGGCGAAGCTCCTCGGCACCGTGAAATGCACCTGCAAGCCCCTGTCCTGGCACGGGATCGCCGCCACTAGGGCCCACATTACGAACAGCAAAACCGAATTCACCGTAAAAACGGCGGGCGCGAGCCCGTTGGAGGCGACAATCTCGTTCGGCTTCGGGGCGTATAAATTATTTCCGATCGCCTGGAGCTGCCTCGCGGCCGACCACGACCGAGAAACGCTCCAGGAAAGAGATCGGAAGTGGCCCAGCGAGCGGTGCTGCTGGTGATGCTGGTGATCCTTTGTCGGGTTGTTCCGGCCGAAGGAGCGGTTCCTGTGGGCCAGGGTGGTGTTGGAGGAGTCCTTGTCATCGAGCATTGCGATGGCAAGGTCGACGAGCGCCTTCTTAGCTCTACGAAATTGGCCCTCGCCGAGCGTCCTGTCGCGGTCGAGGGCGACCAGGACGATTTCTAGGAGCTTGAGCCACTGCCGCACCTGCTCGATGCCGTCGCGGATGGCGTTGCAGACGTCGAGGGCCTTGACGCTGCGTTCGAAGTAGTCGGAGAGGAAGCGGTCGACGGTTGGCTTGGAGAGGAGGGGCTTGTTGATGGAGGAGAGGAGGAGGCTCTTGAATTCTTGCTGGATTTGGAGGAAGGCGTCGAGGAGGTCTCGGAGCCATTGGAGGGAGAGGAGGTCTTGGGAGGAAGAGGAGAGATGGAAGAAGCAATCGGCGACGTGGGTTTGGAAAGAGTCGAGGTCTACAGCTCCTTGACCACCGCCATGGCTATGGGCTTCCATTGAATTAAATTGATCGCGTCGGAGGCTGAAGATCGAACGGCCAATATTGTTGAACCCAGCTGACGACCCTTGATATTCCGTCGCTGGCATTCTTCTCTCACATCACACAACCCCCAATTGATAAATTTATAAAATTCAAATTCAATCGTTTTTGGTTTTCAGGTTTTGGGTGTTGGTTGGATTGAAGCGAGCCCTAGAGAGCTTTAATGGAGGTGGAAGAAGAAGAAGAAGAAGAAGGTGAGAGAGTAAGATAGAAATGGAGAGAGAGTGCCGCGTTTTATGGTGGGATGAGGTTGGGGTTTGGGGAAGAAATAAGATTAAGAATTTTTTTTAAAAACCATAATTAGGAAACTTAATCCCAGTAATTAATTTTACTTTACTTTCTGCTAATCAAGGTTTATTGAACGCGAACTAAACACGGACTGAACACGATGTATATATTTGGGAACTCCAACTTTTAACTTCTTTATTTACCTACTTTTTTTCGTTAATCTTTCTCTCCTCAGATATCTGAGATCAAGTTGCATCTGGACCGTTGATTTCATGTTACTTTGGGCTTGGTGGGGGGGCTTGTGTGTTATTGTTCGCCGAGGGTGAGGGCACGGACGGGCTGACGTTGTGCCACGTGGGGGATGAGGACGAAGTCGTTGTGCAGAGGGAGTGTACACGTGGACGGTACAGCTGGGTCTTCGTTGGCGCGTAAATTGGAGGTGGAGCGAGGGATTGACTGACTGACCCGGTCCTTCTAGAAAGGGAGTGAGATGGGGCCCGAGGGATGTGGGCCCGATGAGATGATGGGAATGACGTGTGTCCTTTTCTAAAAAATGAACAGACGAAATTGTCCCTCTCTCGTAGAAGAAAAGAAAGTGTCAAATTCCCGTCCAGTGTGTACGTTGTTCGCTGTCTGGGTCCCGCACCACTGTCAACTGCTCAAGTAAATAGTAGATTGTGAACATCAAAAGGGACAGGATCTACCATTAAACAAATTTTAAGGTTTAACTTTTAAAACAGGCTCGATATAGTAACAAGATATTCATAATAGTCTACGAGAAAAGGTTTAATTTTTTAAAAAATATAGATGAAGAGATGAATTTAATTGTACAAAGAAAGAAACATAAGAATTTTGTACCATGACTCATGTCCCGTTTGGCATTGCTTATTTGGGGTGATAAGTGATTTTTTTTAAAATTTTGAGAAGCCAGCCTGTTTTGTAAACCATAAGAAAATCACTTATTGTTAAAAATTATTGTGAGAAAAAATTATAAAGGAAAGTAGCTAATGAGGTGCTTTTATTTTCTGATTATGCGAGAATCAGTTTTAAAAAGGCGCCGAGTTTAATGATTATGCGAGAATCATTTTCTCATTATGTAGAAATCAGTACCAACAACATTTTTAACAAAAAGTTTACCAAATGCCAAACTGCTTTCTCTTATAGTTGATTTCTCTCACAACAAATCTGACAGAGATTATTTTCACAGCTCAGCAATGCCAAACTGGCCCTCAATTTATATACTATATTTACTTTTCATATGAATGATAATTTTTAATCAATAAGCTTATTGTCCTAGCCAACTGGTCTTAGTTACATCACTACGCTAAATGATGATAAGATTTTTCTATTTATGTACTTTCTTGAGAAGGCATGTGAAATTGGTGAGACTTTCGACAGTCGTCCTAATATTGGGGGCAGTAAAATAATAATTCCGACCATGCATTCCAAGAAGAAGAAAAAAAGGAAAATATTCGGCCTATAAAAAGAAATGTTTTAAAAGAGAATTACCTATGAAAAAAAACAAAAATTACTTTACAAAGAGAATCTCTTTAGGCAAGTTGATTAAAGAAAATCAGTTCACGTGTGGATTTGGTGCTCCCCATTCTCCAAGGACATGGACTTTAATCTGACTGGGTCTCCTCTTCATTGAATTAGGGCAGATTATATCACACAACAAGGGAATATAATTTTTATTTTTTTATTTTTTCCAAAAGTAAAGGAAAATTATTGATAGGGGACACTGAAAATCTATATATTTATTTTAATAATCTCAATTATCCAAAGACATTAAATCTCTAAACAAACATTTATTTCAAATGAGGCATTGTTTTCAAGTTTTAATGACAAATATCCCATTTTAATTACGTCTTGGAGATTGCAAAACTGATAATTTGGGCTTAAGCTAGCCTGGCACTTGGCAGGCTTCAGATATTTTTCAAGTTTTTTTTTTGGCTCCATCCTAATTTTATATTATATATTTTATTTTTTTCTCTGGTTGGAAAATGATAGTTCAAGTCAAACCCTGTATAAATACAATTATAAATTACTACTACATCAATCTTGTTTACTACAAAACAAAATAACATGCACATCAATCTTGTTAAATAATTCAGAATATTAAAATATATTATGTACAATGTAGAAAAAAATGCATAAAATGGATGTTTTTTTCTTCTCCAACGTCATCAATAATAGCTTTAGTTTCCTTTTATAAACATTGAAAGTGAAATTTAGATAAGTATAAAAAAACAAATTATTAATTAATTAGAAATCAAACAAGTAAAACTATATAATAATACAAATTTGTAATGTCATCTTAGAGGAAAGTAAAAGGTAAACAAATAATGGGTTTTTTTTCTACTTATTACTTTTTTTTAGTATCTTCTCTATTGAGAGAGGCGATACGAATGCTAGACTTGAACCCAGATCCTTATTACCTTTTTTTTCATGAAACATACTTGAGGACTAAAGATAAAATACCAAACAAGGTATAGTTAAGGCTTATAAAGCCAACGGGATCTAGCCTCATCAGTGGTCTCAGATTTGAACTTTCATGACACATTATCAGTATGTGTACTCCCTCTCCCAATATCGCTTATATCAGGAAAAACACAACTCATTACAAAAGGGTTTTTGGTAATTTAATAATCTCGTAATAGTAATTTTTGAGAGAAGTTGATGGATGCTTGATTTTCAAGAAACTTCATCTTCCTCTAATTTTGTATTTGTGCTAAGATTTGGAATCTCGAAAATCTTCATGAAAAAGTTAACATCATATCGCCGTATCCTAACCGGTTCTTGGAATTGATCACTTTTTTCACATGACACAATTACAAAAATCGTGAATAGTGTTCTTCACAAAAGACATGCCCATTTTATTCACCAAGAAGAAAGCCAGCTATGCTTTCCAAAAAATAATACTAATAGCTTAATGGTCCACTTGTTATGGCTTCCAATTTTCAAGAACAAAAACAGATGTCAATTCCATTATACAATACAAAGTAATAAATATTTCTAAAAAACAATTTACTATTAACACATGATCTAATAATTTATTCTTGATTTTAAAAATATTTTACCGTATTTTTACAAAAAATCTACAGAAAACGAAAGTAATTTAAAAAATATGTGCGTACATGTATGACAGAAGTGTTACACTCGAATGTAATAACTAAAGTTGAGGAAAAATTAATACAACTTGAGAGGAAAAATGGTATAGCGAAAAGGAAGAACAGGGTGATGGTAGAGGTGACCCCTCTAGCCTTCATGCAGCTCCCTTTACTTTTTTATGTGCAATTTTTCAAATATGCAAATTGGTGAAGGAGATGAGGATAGATATAGATATATATATATTTAAAAAAAAATGTGGTTAGTTTGTCTCTTGCTTTAAATATTATGTTATTTATTATTAATTTATATTAGGATAAATTAGAAAAACTATATTTCATTAAAAAGGTGGATATAGTGAGGAATATTTGGGTTCAAATAGGCACACCCAAGAACTTTATACATTGTATGGTTGCATATGTTGATGTGACGTGAGGAGTTAATCAAATAATTGCATATAAATTGATGTGTGAATTTGTTAAACAAATTAGTCATAATTAAATTATGTTAAGCTGACTAATAGGGCTTTTGAAACAACAAACCAAAACAAAACATAGGACCAATGACTAAACAATCTACTAAGTCATCATATGTGGAAAGGCCTCCTTCGAATTAGAACCTCTTCTTCCATGGATATATCACATGTGGTGTGGTGTGGACCTATGATCTGACGGAGCCACAACTTGTGGACCATTGTATTAAATTGCAAGTTGCTGTCCTGGAAATTATTATCATTTTGGATACCGCTTGTCTTCTTCTTACGAATCACAGTTTGACAGATATACAAAAATAATTCATAAAAAATACACAAAAAAACTTCTACACATCACATTAATAATGACAAGAATATAAAAGCTCTTACTTACATGATAAGAAAGGAAGTATTTTATTATTATTTGTGGTCGAATCCTTGAAATATTAATTTATTATTTGAGTGTGTTTATAAAGTCCATTTCATATAGAGTTTTTTTAAAAAAAATAATAATTTGAGCTTTTATATTAGTGAATCTCATATATATATATATATATATATATATATATATATCAGTTATTCTCTTATCCGGATGTCCGCACGTTATTATTATGCGGATCCTATTGTAAACAAGTAGGAAAACAAAGAGCGATAGTACAAAATACACGGCTTCCACACGATAATAACATTCGGATGTTCGCATAAGAGAATTTCTATATATATATATATATATATTATATCCATGGCCCACTACGTGGGGACTGACTTGTGTGAAATGTACATGTTTGGCTCTTTCACACGTCTCTCTGCCCAAAAGAATAAAAGAAAAACTCAATATTTTTTTCCCCTTTTTCCGTTTTCCAAAACCAAGAAAAGAACCCGTCATTCGCCCAATTAAATATTATCTGTTTCAACAATTAGGCACATATGCAGTTGTGGATTAATCTAGTTGATTAAGTCAGTGTGTTTGCCCTTTTACGTATGAGTTTGGTTATCCTTTTGTACATTGAAATAATTAGAATATCGCTTTATAAATAAATAAATAAAACAATTATGCACATGTTAAAAAAAAGAGAAAAAAAAAAAAGAAGAAACAATTTGTAACTTTCATTTTCATTGATATAGTTCTTTCTTGGGCCTCAAGACTCGGTCAAACTCAAGATCAAGAAGAGTCAATAGCTTCCAGAGATAAGTTTGATGTTGGGGAATGGGACGTGTGTGCTAATGTCGTTTTGATCAAGGAGGGTCAAAATTATATGCGCCCATTCACGAAATGTTTGGAAAAGCACTCTTCTTCTTCTTCCTGTTGCTGAGAGAGAGACAGACAATTTTTTCACTTCAAATTGTTTTTTTTAATTTTGAATTCTTGGTGATACCATTCACTTATGATTTAAATTCTTCATGATGCGATTCAAGTATCAATTATCATCCACTTGGGTTGAATGGTTTATAAAAGATGGATTTGAGTTTGACTAGAATGTAAGCTTAAATAAACAAAAGATTTTTGAAATAGATTTTTATTCGTGTGAACGAGAGAGAGGGAGGATTAGAACTTGCGAACTCTTACATAAAATTTGGAATTTCAAACACCTATATTTTACGAATTAAAAATCTAAAAAACTATCTATCTAATATTTAATAAAATCCTTATGTTTGAAATTTTGTCTCCAAAATCGGCTAATATATTTTTTTCTTTCATCAACTTGTAGATAAATATAAAAGGGAGACTTTAATCTTTCTGCAACTTGTAGATAAATATAAAAGGGAGACTTTTTTAGGAACTGGTAAAGCTGTTTCATGGAGACTGAGCTGAGGATCTAAACGGTTGGGTGGGGCCCATTTTCATATTTGAAGGTCGGCTAACTAACACAGACCAACCATACCCTAAAAGCCCCCCAACCAGACAGCAGCTTAGCCCATTCGCCGTATCCGTCAACCTTGCCAGGTATCTTGACCCTTGACTTTTGACACATTCATCTCAAACAGAGGACCACATGCACACCACAGCTCTTTAACTAGTTACAAAAAACAAAAACAATAAAAACAAGATCCAAGCTCTAGATCTGGGCTTTTGACCCTGCCCTACTTCCACCGCAATCACACCGTGTATACACTCTGTGCATACGTGAGTGAGTGAATATCAGTCGTTGATCTGTATCGACCTAACTTAACAACTTAGAAACAGTTCATATTCCAGTAACACACTTGATTTGGTTCACACTTGGCCATGCCTTTTAAGGAAGAAAAACTTAAACCATACATAAGAAGTCACGATCCATCGTTGCTTAATGGGGGGCATGGTTGTGCTATTACAATTCTGTTGTACTGCACGAAAGTGAAAGTCATCTTATACAGATGAGATGACAGTTGAACAAAGCATTAGGGAAATCCATTGGCAAAACCTTGCGGCATGCTTGTTTCGCTTTCTTTCGCTACAACATCGGCCACAAAGATACTCCCCGAGTCGCACCATCCACCTAGAACATCCTTGTTTTGGCACTGCAATAACATATACAGTTTGAGATTTTTAAAGGCAGTTATACAATATAGCACAGCAACGCTGTCTTTGTATGGATGGACTAGAAGAGCGCTATTTATTGTAGACCAAGAACTTATTGATTTTCTTTGCTTGCTGGATGTCCTCGGTCAGGTTAAAAAACATGTTTGCTTGCTGGCAGAAAGACACCAATAATTTAAGCATAACTTGAAAAAGTAAATACTATATGGATTTTCGTTGCAAACACAAACTCAAACTCAATATCGGACTGTGGGTTGCCTAAATTTTATAACACGGAGTAAATAACAAGGATAACTGCTGGTCCCAATTGAGAACCAATTCCCTCTAATTTGGTTTGGTTAATTTCATCAGATCTTTTAACTTAATTTTAAACAGAAGACAAAAATTTATAAGTTTATTTACAATTAATAAAGTTGTAATCCGACCAATTTCAGCTTTTGATTGATAGGACAACAGAATTAGCCTAAGAAAGGGTAGTCTACATACATGCCATGCAAAACATTAGAAGAAGTAATACCTTGCTAAAACCAAGCCAGTTTGAGTCTCCTCTAAATGAAAATACCTTGCTGCTATCTTTCCACTGTCCACAAAAGACCTGCAAACACAGTTGTAGGTGGGGCAATGAGAATTGCGAGTAACAAGTCAACTAGTAAGAACCAAAGTAACTTCATTCATGCTTCTATTAAATTTTAAAAGAACTTGGCTAAAAAACTAAAAACAGTTTTGTATTACAGAAGAACTCTTAATCATAAAAACGTTTTGTAGCAGACCCGCACATGAAAATAAAGCTTGTCACCCCTGAGTGTCTTATGGTTCATCTTCATGATGACATGGCTGGTGTTGCCACCTAGGGCTCCCTTGGCCATTTGCTTAGGCACCCTTAGAAAGCCCAAAACCACGAAGGACTTGGTTCTGAGCTTTGGCTGTCTCCATTTTTGGGTTTCTTTCAAACTATAGATTTTATTAGTATTCCAATTATTGTTATAATTATATAACTGAAAAGTACATTACTAAATATATATGACAGTTTCTATATGTTAGTGAATGGATCTCATTGTTTTTCCAGGAAGTTGGTACAATGTAGTTATTACATACTAACTGTGTTGGACAGCAAGAACCAATGTGGCAAAATAAGTAGGGAAGAGTGAGCCCATGGTATCACCGCTCCCCAAGGATAGATTTGGATAGCATCTAATTATTTACGAACGACTAACCTAAAAGATACCTTGTCTTATCATGATCCAATTTATAGCAGCGTGTACATGTGTGAACATGATTCCACACTTAGGTGGCTGATAGATAAATACCAGAAAAATTTAAGAACCATCTAATCAGAAGTTTGGACAATCTTCGTGTTCATAACAAAATACGAACACTAACTTTTCCTTACAACAACATAAATGCATCCAACCAATCTGTTAAAAATAATTAAGGTGATTACTAAAACAAATAAACTACTAGAGTTAAGCAAAATAATTCACCTGAAAATGAAATTACCATGTAAAAAAACTTAACTACCACTAAGTAAAAAACCCGTAATCACCTCATAGTCAACCCCTTGTATGTAGATATAGTCGGAGTCAACTGAAGAGAATGCAAGCCCAGTTATCTGCAGATAAAATGTTATCTCCAGCAGCTATATATAACACAAACAATGAAACAAGAAGGAAATTGTGTAGCTTGAAAAAACAGAGTGGAAGTTCACTCTATTCAAGATTGGAGTCAACTATTAACGTCGGCCTATTAACTCTGCATTCGACCATACCCATGGCACTCTTTACCCTGGATACAAACAATTCATGAATGATGTGGTGGTAACGGGCCTTCAGTCAGGTCTACAGGTAAGAGATTTGCATCCTACACTTCTGACATTCGCAGATGTAACATAGGTAATCCATTTTCAAAAGTTCCAGTCATTGTCATTAATCATTCCAATCCAAAAACCAAAACCAGTCACTAGTTTTGACATTGCAATAACTTTAACAAACTCTATATCACTTCTGAGAATCAAATTTCTTGTTGATTGCAAATTCAACTTATTTGCAAGTCATGTATGGTGCACATAGGGGCATATTATAGCCATGATTGGGTGGATACATGGAGAAGAAAACAAGGAATATGGAGTCCGAGATCCTTTTCAGACAATAAAACCTACGTGGATTCCTAATTTCTATAGTTGCAAGCTAGGTATTGTAACAATAATGCACATATACCAACATGAAAGAGCAAAAAAATAACACTGTAAAAAGGAGAAAAAATTGAGTGAAAATGTAAAGAAATAACTGTAAAATGGAGCATAAACAAAAACAAGGCAGCATAGGTTAAAACTGACCTCATATTTCGAGCAGTGCACCCATCTTGATAATGCTGACCATCTACATCAAATGAACAGATCATATATCAGGTTTCAGTTCTCAGTTCCTAGCAGAGTGGAAAAGAAAAAACAAAAAGACAAACTAATGCTCTATTTCTTTTCCTTAACTTCTGAAGAGGAAAACATAAAATCTTAAATCAACAAGAATCAAAGTACCAAGAGTAACTTGAATAACCTGGATATGATATTGAACCAAATGGTACCAACCTGCGAGGATCATAGATTGTCACTGTACGATCAGCTCCACCAACTGCAATATTCCCGGTTGAAGAACTGCAGACAGCATAAAACGCATCACCAAGGGAACCGCATATTCGTTGTAGACAGCCACCATTTTCTTTCATTCTCAAGTCCCATATAGTCAGCTACAGTTATTCCAATAGATGAAGCTGAGCAATTCAAGCATAACTGAAAAATAAAGTTCGTGATAACATTTGAAAACCTTAAAAATCATAAAAGCACAAAAGTTCTACCTGGGAACCTTCTGTGATTGCTAATATAGAGCCCTCGTTCCCATAATGCGAACTTTTTGTGAAGTTCAGTGATGATGGGTACCAGAGTCTGTAAAATGGCTATGTTAACAACAAAGGTCCACAAAGATCTTTTTACATAAAAGTAATGCAACACAAGTTGACTGAAAGCTCTATAAGGATCTTAGGTAATGCATATAGGTTTTCTGAATAGCTGCAGAACCTACATTGAATATAGCCGTGATCAGTCAGCCATTAAGGTGAAATGAAAATTTTGGGCAAGGTGCACACAAATCGCATATGCAATCTACATAGACATATTTTTCATTAACTAGTCATACAAGCCGGATAGCCAACAACTTTTCATGACAAAATAATTCTTCAAAATATAGAAAACAAATATTGACTAAAAGAGGGATTTCACCTTCAATTCTCTAATTAATTTTTTGTTTTCATCCTGGCATAATATGCAGTAGTAAATTGAGACAATATGGCGGTTCCAGAAACAACCAGAGATGATAATATTTTACATTTCCAAACATTACAAATCACGGTGAGGAAACTTCGGCGCTTCTTTGCTTGGTAGAAAGCATATTAAACCATCACATTGATTGTAGTTAAGTGTAAAATAAATTTTAAGATTTAATTCAAGCCAGGAAATTTTTTTGCAATTAAATCATGTATAATCATTAATATTGGTCACAAAGATTTCTGTTTGTTGATTAGTTCATAATAAATGCTGAACACAAATGCACAACACCATAAAATTATGTGATGTTGCAAAAGCATCCATTAGCATTGACTGTATGGGATCAATAGACTTTTGGTTTTGTGGCACCAATCTCCCTTTGAGGACTCAGAAGATGGCATTTATGAATTTCCCAGCTGAAGTGATTTCTTCAAACTCTCTAGGTTCTTGACACAACAAGGGTAGCAATTATATGGAATTTATTTATTTATTTTTTAAATAATGACAGGGATGGTAATTTCCACAAGAAATAACAAAAAAACTATTCCAGCACCACCTGTAACACTTACGTACATAATTTCCTGACATGGATGTCTTGGTCATAAACATCAATGGTTTTGCAGAAGCTACGTGCAACAGCTGCCTGGAATAAGAGATGATTACGAGTGATAGAGAAGTACAGGTAGGAAAATCTAACCAGAGAACAAATCATAGTCTCCCAAGAATTATTGAGTTAATTAAATGTTCAGAAAGGAAGGGACAGGCAAAAGCAGATCTGTCCTGTTTCTCGTTAGGAATGACATCTCCATATGACTAATAAAAGTTTCCTTCCAACTTTTATTTATAATGTAAAATCATAGTAGTCTGCACTTCATTTGCCTCTTATAAACTCAGCTTCCCTGAATAACACTTGGGCCTACAATGCCAAATCTGTTTTTTTTTATAAAAAAATTATATACAAAAAAAATTATCATTACTGTAATGATTTTGATTTGTAATTCCAAGAGCTTAACGACACCGGAACTGTGTCAAAAAAAGTTTTGTACACAAATAAAAAAAATCCCCTTTGGAAAAAAAAAGAAAAAGAAATTAAGAAGACAATGAAAGGTTTTTACAGACAAATGAATAACCTTAAAAAAAAAGGTTTCATTTGAAAAAGACTCTTAAAATCTCAATCATTTTGATTGTAAATGAGAAACAACTAAAACACTAGAAAATAAAATCTAATACAAACAGAGTTCAATATATTAAAGTGAATATCAAGAATGAAGACAGTGCACTTCATATTATATTTGTGAACATGGTTCAACTATGGTATTCTCAGCTGATTACTCACTGATGAAACATAATGCAAAAGTTCAGATTAAGCATAAAAATAAAAGTAAGCACTCAGTACCGTAGACCATTGTGTTGGACTGAAGCAAAGCCCCGCCCAACCACTTTCTCCAATGCCACAATCACGAGGCAATACTGAATAAGTAAGCCTCTCTACATCTGAGAAATTAACAGGTTAATCCTACAATTAGTAAGCCAAACAAAAAATTAAATCTGCTCATAGTTTAAACCATTTCACATAATTCAATTGATGGTGTAATATTCTGCCTAACTTTCTTGGTAAAATGATGCATAGAATGTATCTAATCAATATACAAGGGGAGAAAAAACCGATGCATTTGGTAAACCCTATTGGGAATTTTAAATTTTAATATCTGGTCTGATGACCATTGGGCATTTTTTGTACTAGCCTCTTGCACATGCTCCAGGTTTGTAACACTATCTCAATGTCAAGATGATTAATGGGTAGTTACTCTTTTTACCTCCTGCTAAAGCATTTTAGGCATTTATTTACTCATGAGTGAGAAAGGGAGGTTAAAGTTTCATGGGAAGTCCCTTTTGCCTTAAACTACGTACTACTCCATATTTAAGCAATTCTGGTTACTCATTTTCAGTTGTTTTTTACTTTTCGTAGGTGAAATTCAAAAAGGGTAGTTAGGTAGTTGCTCAAGAGTAGCAAAGTGTAGTTACAGAGTCTCCATGAAAAATATACTTTCTGTCAGTATCTTTTGTGTCATTATTTATTTATGGTTAATTTCTTGTTTCATAAGGTGGATTCAAAATAGTGTCACTTTTAGATAAAAGTATAAGACTAAAGTTACATAAAACAAACAAGTATTGAAGAAACCTAAAAGACAGAATGGTTAAATTAGGCAAAGATCACTTACAGCACAAAATAACAGAAAAAGGACAATCAAGTCAAACCATGAATAGACACCCCACTTTTATGCATCATCATTTCGAAAGATGGGTGATTTAACATTCCTATATGTGAGTGAATGAAATTCTTAGTCATAAACAAAAAAAATTCAAAAAATTTATTACAAAACGGATAGGTGAGAGCAACTTAAGAAACCAAAGGCGTGGCCTGCATCCTTGAGACCAGCATGCCATTGGTAACCAAGCAAATTAACCCACCAAAAAGATAAGAAAATATTTCTCCAATTTTAAGGTAAGCAGAAACCTGTATGCTAACTATTCCAAAAATTATGAAAATTTAAGGCAGAGATTTGGTTGAATAGGACTCATAATAAATCATCTCCCCGGGAGGCCACCAACTTCATTTTTCTTTCCATTTATGAGCATACATTCCACAAAACCAACAAATCCCCAGAACAAGAATAGAACCATAAATTAAAACTTAAATACAAAATTTCACCTGTACCAGTAGTATCTAGTTTAGATACAATAAGGTGACCATAAGAATCAACAGTTCCCAACATTGAATAGCCCGTGCCTGCATTTTTTTATATCAAGATAGCAAACTATAAGTAAATTACACAAATGTCCAAAACCATTATTATTTTTCTTTAAAAGAGCACATGTCCAAAACCATTCTGAAATGATATTTGTACATTTTCATAAGACTTTTCTCCATTATCGGAAATGAGATAGTCAGCCTCTAGATAAAATTTTCTACTTTCAAAAGGCTTTTGTGCATTCGGATAAACACTTTGAGAAGCCAAATTCTGTCCAATGTCCTCATCTAAGTTTGACATTTAATCCTATAAAAATGTGCAAATTAGTCATGCTCTTTCATCAAAATGGTCAAAGGCCTAAGAAATTATTCCACAAAATGTTACCACCACTCTTCAATTGGGATAATAAAAGAAGTGCACAAAACCCTTAAAAAATAAGAGGTCAAAGACGAGGAGTAATGTGCAAAAGTACCATGTACGCTCATCTCTTTTATATATGTTAGGTCCCAAAATTTAACATTGATGTCATGGGCAAGGACAACCAACACAAAATGTCAAAAGATAATATTCCAAAGAACGCGACCTAACAAATCAAAAAAATGAAACCTGACTGCAACAATCACTTACTCTCAGTTTCAGCAAGAACTATACTCTGAATTTCTGAACGATGAGGGCAGCGGTTAACCATCAAAGAGTTCATAACCTTCAAGGATTCATTGGGTTGATGACACAATTAACACATAATATACTCATTGCTGAATAAATGTGATTGAATTCATGAGATCACATACCTCAGTGTGTACTGGGATCAGAAGGCTTTCTTTTCCTTCGCTGATCAGAGAATCTTCCAATGGAATCTTAGTAAAAACAAAGAAAATAAATAAAATAAAGCTTCTAGCCTAACCACCATACACTTTGACTAGTAATATGAACAAATTACGTCATACTTACATTTTGGTAAATGTCTAATACATATTGAACATAAACAAACATTTCTCACTTGAACTTGGCTATCTTACTCATGTTTCTTCAAAATTTTCCAAATCAAATTTTAGACATGCCTCTCAAATTTAAAAGCTACAAGCAATCAAAAACTCCCAAATTATAGAGTCCCACTAATTGGCATAATTCTTCTTTCATAACCCTTTCTGAAGAATCATTTGGTACTAGATATGAGCTCCACCACCATGAAGACTATACCAACAATAAACTTAAACACAAATAAGCAAGTATCCAACTTTCAAAACCATAATAGAAACAAAAACAAAAAGACTCAAATTATGATATGCAGGCATATACCTGGAGTTTGTAAATCTGGCAACCGGAGGCGATGTAGACCCAACAAGAAGAGCAGTCCTCGTTAACCTGACAAAGAAATTATAATTGCATGATAAAACCAAAAAAGAACTTTGGAGAAAGCCAAAGAGTTAGGGTTAGGGTTATAGAGTTTGGGGGAGTACATGGAGAGCGAGGCGAGTGGACTGGAGGCTACCAGGAGAAGGATTCTCTATGAGAGAGGACGGCACCACCGCCTTGCTCAGACTCTTGGCCCCCAACATCTTCCTCCTGCAAATTGATAGGGTCTTCGGGAATACAAGGTGGCGCGAATTTGTCACTACTGGGATAACGGCTATAGAGGTAGAATAGGGGTTTTAGGAATTTAGCGGGTAACCCTATTTGAAGTTTTCCGTAAAGGTAACTTAAACAAATTTAACCCAAGTCAACATAGTCTAGTCGAGTGAAAAATGGTCTTGACTTGCAGACCTTCTATGGCATCATAACTGTGTGTGTATAAAAAAAATATCTCTCCTTATAGTTTAGACTATAGCTTATACCAAAAAAAAAACCCACCCAAAAAACATAGCACTCTCTCTTCCACTTTCTTCCTAGAGAAAACACTCCATAGAGGGGGAGGAAGAAGCGTCACTACCCTTCTCCCCTCTCCTTCTTCCGTTTTCTTTTGGGTTAGTTAATAAGTCTCTTGGATGTTTTAAATAAGAAGCCTTTTGTATTGATTTCTTCAGGTCATGCTTATCGAAGTTCCCCATCATCTCTTTTGGGCTATATCCTTAATCAAATTATTTTCCCAAAATTCACTCTCTAATACTGTTCATCTTCTCTAAATTTAGTTTTATCTCGTATTTGACGGAGTTGGTTGCAAATCACCCAATTATTTTTTGCGAGGATTGTTTGTTTGACAAATTTATTTGCTTTTATGCTTAGATAGATTGCTGGAAACCATGTGTCATGAATTTTGTTTTCGCTTCAAGACTTTATGCGATGGTGGGTGTGACAGCGCCGATGCTTCTTCAGTTGGTGGTGGTAGGGTTCATTTAGGCTACTAAATTAATTTAGGGTTTTAGTTATGTTGGATTTATGGACTTTATTTGGGATTATATTTAATATTAGTTTAGTTTATAAAAATATTATTATTAACTTAATTATCGGGTCAGGCCAAGCTGCTCAGGAGCATAAAAGTTAAGGCCGAACTCCTACCCTTTTCACAACGGAACAGGTTGAGCTCATCCATTATATCGGACCAGCCCACAGCCCAAA